TCCTGCTCCCCTGCCCTTCCTCCTTCCAAGTCCCACCGGGTGTTCCTGGGGCTCCTCAGGGCTTGGACCGAGGTGGAATTCTCTGCGGCCAGCTCAGTGTGGCCTCAGCACCCAGAGGGGCAGACGGCAGCACACTCTGCTTTGTGATGGCCCTGGGCTTCCCCTCCTCCCCTCTGCCCAGCTCTTGGAGCTCAGCCTCAGATAAGCTTCTTGAGTCCCGGGAAGAGAAGGGCTTGGGGAAGGGATTCTGCGAAGCAAGACCAAGGCCTAGCCTGAGAGTGGCAGGACTAAGGGGGGCGGGGAATTCTGATCCCTCAGAACCGGGGCAAGAGATTAGGAGAGGAACGAAGGGGCAACTGGATGAGGGTATAAGTGGAAATACGTGTTCTGGTGCCTCCCCTGTGCCACCCTGGTCATGGTCTTACTTCTTGCTGATAGCAATTGTGAATCACAGAGAGCAAGAAACACTCGCCTGACACCACGGGGCAGTGAGGCTGGGAACCAGCACCCGAACTGGCCTCCCAGTGTGTGTCCAGAAGGTGGAGACCACGGAGTGGAAAACTGGTAGTAGCAGTGGGAGGGGAGATGGGAGGCCAGGGTTGGCACCAAGGATGACAAATCCCTAGCAACGCCCAGGGCCTGACCACCATGCAACCTCATTGCAGCCCCACCCAGTCTGTGAGCTATACTACCCTGGGCTCATTTCCAAGCCCCTTGATCACCTCTGCCATGGGAATGGATGAAAAACCACCTGTGTAGGATGGCTGAAATGGATTAATTTAGGACAACACACAGTAGGCATCTCACCCATGCTCACGATTGCCTTTATCTCACCCACAAACACCACCATCATTTCTTGGTTCCTTATTCCCTCAAATACCCAAGGTGCAATAAAACTTCTGCAATATTTCTTGAAAGCTGAAAATAGGAAGGATGGGGAGGGAGGGGTTGGGAACACAGACAGCATACGCAGTCATCCTCCCCATGGGCAAACAGACCCCTCAGACAGGGCTAAGAGGTATCTAGAGGGAGAGGAATCCACTCTGAACCTCCCTGACCGCACCCAGTAACTTTCCACTGGCCTAGGGGTGGCTGCTCGCACGTGCTGGCTGCACTGGCTACACGCTTCCCCCAGGGGTGGCCCCCTGGTCGCCTCCCCAACAGGGCCTGCAGGGGGCTGGGTGGCTGACGCATTCCCTGCCGGAGATCTCAGCCGCCTAGAGGCTGATAAGGAGCCCAGGCCCCATCACGTGGGACTGGCTCTGGCTGGATCGTTTCCAAATTAGGGAGATGAGGAGATAAGGAGTGGAGGGGGCTTAGGGACTCTGTGCTGAGTGGCCAGAGAAGCCAGGGAAAGGGACAGAGGCACAACCAACTGAGGCCTCAGGAGGCCTGGCTAGGGGTAAGCCAGCAAATGGCGTGAGATGGGGGAGGGTTTAAGAAATGGGATGTGTGGAAAGGCCCTGTGGAAGGGCTGGGGGCAGGGTCGGATTCCCTCCCGATGGGGCTGGCTTGGTTAGGATGACCCTCCCTCCCTCAGAACATCCAGTCCCCTAGGGCACAGCACTCGCCCCAGGCCTGTGGGAGCATCCTGGGGGCCCAGAGAAGAGGGTGAGAGGAATAGATCTCAGTCCTGCCAGCCCACAGGCCTCCCGGGTGGGTGCAGGTCGGGGTGACCTGGCAGGACTGCAGAGACCAGACCTCCCAGTTGACTGTCCTGCGCCCACCTCCCTTGGGGTCCACTTAGGAGCAGGGCCTCCTGCTCCCACCTCCCACCCCAACTGCTCTGTCATGACCCAGGAGGTAGGTGGCACTGCCTTCCTATGCCTCCCTGGGTGCTCTTGGCCCCAGGGCTCCAGTCTCTAGAACAAGCCATTCGTCTCAGAGCTGAGAGAGGATGCGCAGCCTGGGACAGCCATCCTGCCTCCCCCCCTCCCCTCCACCACCCCGCGGAGCACCCTCACCTCATCTCCCAGCCAGGCCCCGACCCCCTTCCTTACAAAGCCTGACCTGGAAAGAGAGAGAAGAGGGTGTCCAGGACGCAGGACAGCGTGCCCCACGGTTTTGCGGCTCTCCTCTCCCTTGTCCCTTGGGTCCTCAAACCCAGAGGAGCCTCCAGCCTGGACTGTCTCAGTCTGGGAGATGTAACTGGGGGGAAAGGGTGGCACAGGGCATGGGGTGACCTTGGTTCTGCAGGGCCCCTCAGGGCGTGGATACAGCTACAGAGGGTGAGGATGGGGGGTAGGCGAGGGAGTGAGCAGGCTGGCCACAGGCCGGGCTGGCAGCTAGTTTATATCTGGGCTTACAGGAGCACAGGGAGGGTCAGAGGGCCAGCGAGGGAGCATTCTCTGAAGGGAGAGGTGGTGGGAGGAGGTCCTCATTCCCGGCTGGTGCCAAAAATCTGGAGGAAGAAGGTGAAGATGTAGATGATGTCTAGGTAAATGTTGAGGGCTCCAAAAACATACTCCTCGGGGCTCAGCGTGTGGCGTCGGTTACCCATCAGCAACTGCGTGTCAAATGCCAGGAACTGAGGGGAGGGGAAGAGAGAGGAGAAGTCAGAAGGCTCAGTCACTGTGACACTGACCAGGGGGCCCCGTGTCCCCACCCAGGCCCACCCCTGATTTTGTTACCATCGCTTGTTGCCTGACTGCCCAGAGAGCTTCCAGCCCAGAATCTGGAACTCTCCCAGAACCTGGAACTTGCCCAACACCTCAGTCCCTAATTTAACACCTACTAACTGAGCACCTACTATGTGCCAGGCACAGGCATACAGTAAAGAACAACACAGACAAGACCCCTTGCCTCATAGAGCTTCAAGTCTAGTGGGAAGTAGGTGTTAGCATGAGTGAAACCAAGGCACCCGGTGCCGATCACAGGAACCTGGCCCCGTGTGGGTGTGGCAGGAAGCCAGGGAAGGCTTCCTGGAGGAGGGGGCCTTGAGGGACCTTCAAGCTGATTCCTAGTCGTCTTGCCATTCCCCCAGGGCCCTGCTCTTAGAAGACAAATGAATGCGTCAAGTAATAGCGAGCAGGGAATGGAAATTTATGAGGCGTTTTCCAGACCTTAGCCTGCTTAGTCCTAATAATATCCCTACTGAGTAGGGGTTCCATTCCTCCCAGAGAAAACCACAGCCCAGAGATGCTAAGTACGTGCCTACGGTTACACAATTAGGAAAAGGCAAAGCCAGGATTTGAACCTGAGCAGGCCTCCTCCACTGCCCCCGTGCTGAACCATTGAGCTCTGCTGCATGCAGACCGCACTGGGGTTTGTGCCTCCTGCCAGGAAACAGGAGGCCTTCATCCCCCCCCCCTCTCCCGCACCCCGGCGCCTTTTTGGCCGACTGGACCATGAATAGCTATTCCCTTAGAGATGGCTCCTTTTGGCCACCCTGCTGCTCCCTACCAGGCCTTCCCAGTGTCTACAGTGACCCCTCCAAACAGCTTTTCTCTGGGGCCCTGCATACGGAGCAGAACCCCCAAGTAGCACCATATGAAATCTGACAGGCAGGCTGTACTTTTCTGGGAGAAAGAAGCCGAAAAGTTCCACCAATGTCTCCAAGGTTAGGAACCACTGACCCACATGGGATTGGAATTCTTTAAATCGATGCACATTCTTGTTAACTGGGCTGTGCCCAGCTCTTCCGTCACTTGTGCACGGCCCTGTATTCCTCGGACTCTCCGAAACATTCATTACATGATACATATGCATGGGGCCAGGGCGGGTGCCAGCGACGTGCTGAGAGCTGCAGCCGATGGGGAACACAAATGCCTGCCTTGGGGGGCTCACGGCTTAGTGAGGAGTCTGAGATGAGCACAATAAAACCCAGTAAATGCCATCATTAGGGCTGATGGGTAGGAGGAAGGTGTCCCAGGAGAGGTGACACTTAACCTGGGCTTTGAAGGATGACTAGGAGTTTGCTAGACTGAGAAGGCATGGTGTGATGGGTGAGGAAATTCAGTATGGGAGGAGCAGGAGGAAAGGAGACGGAGGGAAGGGCCAGCTTACATTTTACCCTGGAAACTGGGGCCCAGCTCCATTTCCTTCACCCCAGACACTGACTCCCTGACTCTAGGACCCAGGCTCCTTAGAGCTGCTTTAGGTGCAGCCCCATGGAAGCCTGAATGGACCCCGCCTCAGTGCCAATGACCCCAGGGCACAGGGGGCAGAGGCTCCAACAGGGAGCAAGTCCAGCAAGTGGGACTTGGAGGGGTGGAGTGGGGGTTGGTTAAGAATGCAGGCTTGAGCCCTAGCTGGTTTGGCTCAGTGGATAGAGCTTCAGACTGCGGACTGAAGGGTCCTGGGTTTGATTCCGGTCAAGGGCACATGCCCAGGTTGTGGGCTCAATCACCCGTTGGGGGGCGTGCAGGAGATAGCCAGTCAATGCTTCTCTCTTATCATTGATGTTTCAATCTCTCTCTCCCTTCCTCTCTGAAATCAATAAAAATTATTAAAAAAAAAAAAGGAAAAAAAAAGAATGCAGGCTTGACAATCAGACTGACTGGATTCTAGTCTTAGTTCCGCTACTCACTAGTGATGGGCCCCGGGCAAGACATTTCTCTCTGAGCCTGTGAGTCTACGTTGGAAAAAGACAGATGAGAGCTAAACAACTTTCCTGAGGTTGTTGTGACAGAAAGATAATGCGTGCAAAGCGCCTGGCACGGCGCCTGAAACATGGTAAGCGCTTAGTGAATGGTAGCTATTAATGTGGTTTTATTGTGATTATCTGCAGGAGAAGTGCTCTCCTGAGAACATGTGTACGCCGCTGCTGAGCCGCCAGCGTCTCCCACGGCTCATCAAGGAAGCAGATATGTTACTAGGGAAGCTGTGTGGCCTCAACAGAAGGAAAATGGGGAGCCTCACCAGGGCCGAGAAGGCCCTGTTCAGGGTATGGCGGCCTCTCTGAGCCCAGCGGCACTGAGAAAAGCGCATATGGGAGCTCCGGGCTGGAGCTGGGACACCTGGGTTTGAGTGCTGGTTCATCCCTCAGTAGCCAGCACCCACGTGACCTCAGCGCCGTCACCTACAAAATGGGACGGTAGTAATGACCCCACCACCGTGTGGTTTCAAGGGTAGATGTATGCAGTGTACTCAGCACCAACTATTATTATTCTTTAGAATCATCGCGCTCCGTCCTATGTTCCTGGATTTGATTTGGGTTCCCCCCAAAATTTTCCCTCTGCAGAGAGAACACGCAAGGAGAGGGCCAACTCCAGCACTACAAGCTGCTTAGCCATCACGCCTGCCAGCAGAAGTTAATAAACTGCTGATCTGACTTATCAATCAGTAGCTTGCTTGGTTGAATGCCCAGAGCCTGGTCACCCCTGGGTGAGCTAATGAAAATAAATCTCTCAACTCAGAAGCTGGGACCTGACCAGGTTTGGGGGAGGCCCTTCCAAAGAGCACTCACCCAGGAGGCCCCTTAGAGCAGCCAGCTGGCTCTTCTCTTGGAGAAAAGAGGAGTGAAATGATTTCTGCTCCTGCCATTGGCCTATGGCCACGGATGCTTATCTATGTTGGGATAGCCTGCCCCAAATTCAACCCCACTGCCTGGCATCACCCATCACTGCAACCTCATGCCTGGGAAGCGATGGAAGGCTTTTCATTCATTTATGCCCAGCAATATTTACTGAGCATCTACTATGTTCCAGGGAACTTGCCTTCAGAGAACTAATAATCGAATGAGAGCGAAAGACATCATCAGAGATTATATTATTAGCAAGCATTCATTATAGGGGAACGTTAACTACTAACAACCCCCCTGGTGGCAGTAAGCATTGATAGCTAACATCTTGGTGGAGAGCAGACATCTTGGTTACAGTTAACATCTTAGCTGGCAGCTACAATCCCAGCTGAGAGCTAAACAAGGGGTCAAGCACTAGGAGGATAGCAGGTACTGAGTTGGTAGCCAGGTGAAGACAAGACCCTGCCAGGGGAGCGAGTGGGATATGGGCAAGAGGCAGGAGGATTAGGCTGATGTCTGCATAGTCCTTTCACACACTATTCTTTTATCTCATCTCACTCACCCGATTTGCCCCAGGAGGTGCGTGTTATTGTCACTATTTTACGTAAGAGGGAAGGAGCCTCAGAGCAGGTGACTGGCTTGCTGACAGTCATTGATCTAGTGCTGCAGCCAGATGACCTGTCTCATTCTGATGGAGATGGGGGTAGAGTGGGCTTGCAGGGAGGAAGGGGGCATGCACAGAGGCAGAGGATCCAAAGCCAACGTTCCTGGTCCACCCAACTGGCTAGCGTTGGACCTGGCCAGGGCCCCTGGCTACACCCTCGGGCTGACCCTGCTGTGTCCCGGGCTTAGGCTCAGGTCTGTTGTTCTCCCAGGCGTGAGGCTGTGAGAGAGCATGCCAGGGACAGGCCAGCTCAGAGCCACCAACAAACAGGCACTGAATACAAAACGCTGAGGTTGCAATGCTTTGAATCAGCATTAAAAATAACACATGGACCGTGTCCATCCTACAGAAATGCCAGCAGGAGTGCGCAAAGGGCACGCCCGAAGCCGTCCGCTGCCGCACTGGTTCCAACGGCGAAACACTGAAACACCCAACTCCATCGGTGAGGACCGGGTGGCAGGAGCTGTGGGTGGCAGTTCTGAGGCAGAAACATCTCTGACATATGCTATTATTGGAAACAAACAAGTTGCAGAAAAATCCGTATCAGGTGATCCCCTTTTATGTTAACAGACAAACCTCATAGGAGCCCATGTAGCAAATATCTATAAAACACACAGAGAAAGGCCTGGAAGGATATTGATCCCAGTGGTTACCACGGGGGGGAGGCCGTGAGGGACAAGGTCAAAACCATGTTTGCATTACCTATATTACTTAAGATTTTAAAAAACGGAATATACGAATAAGCATATTCATATATGATGTAGTTAGGAAACTTAAAAAGGAAGGATAATGTTACAAAAAAGAAGACTTGGTGACCTCTCGGCATGAGCCCCTGGGGCAGGTGCCCTGCGATGGAGCTGTCTGTAGCTGAGGAGCCTGAGGCACAGGGAGTGTAAGTGATGTGCCCACTTCACACAGCCGAGAGGCCAGCTGAGTCCCTGACCCCAAATCCCATGCTTTCCACCATGTGACACTCCTTGAGGCAAGGCACCCGTGAGTGCGCATGTGTGTGTGTGTGTGCGCGCGCACATGTGTGTGCACGTGTGTGTAAGGACAGAAGAGGTGGGAAGAGATGTGCACAAAGAGCTCATGGCCAAGAGCACTGCAGGCTTCCTGGGGGGTGTAGAGAGCTGGGCCCAGCCGAGCTCTGCCACCACCTGCCACAGCCTTCTGGGCTAGAGAGTGAGCCTGGGCTTGGGGGACTGACTCTTCAGGGAGAAACAACGAGCCCTAAGCCTTGTGCCCTGGATTGAGATGTGGGTCCGGGTGAGGGAGGAGAGGGGCTGAGTCCACTAGTTGCCTGGGGCCAGTGTTACATACTTCTCTTGTCTCCATTGACCTCAGTGTCAAAAATTTTAATGACACAGACAACTGCACGTAGCCCTGAGTCCTGGCATGCATC